AGAGCAGGCCATTTACGAGAAAAGTTGTCATTCATAAAAATAGCAACGCTTTACGGTTTTCTTATCAATCTTGCAACGTATGAGCAAAATGGCAATAATTAAAATAGTATTTTATTCGAATTATACATATTTCATTAATTTTTTTCCATTTAAAAAAAATGAATGAGAATCTTTTATGAGAAAGCACATAAGTCAAAGGAATGGTGTAAAAGGGAAAAGAATAGCATATACGTACAGTACCTATAGTTTATGTTCGAAGGACTATAGTGCTATTTTTGAAAAATATCCTGAAAAATATGTAATCGAAACCGAACCGATTCTTCACTATTTAAAATGTCAAATCTGTGATTGTGTTGTAACTGTTATTCATTGTTATCGTAAAGTATCATTTTTCCATAAAATTTCACCTCTTTAACACCAATTTTCCCATACACCAATTTATTTATCAGATAAAATACATGAAAATTCGGTTTTGAATAAAACAGTAGCTGTTTATGGCTTTCCTCCATTATAAGAACATAGTACCCATTTTTGCATAAACAAATTTATTTATCGGATGAAATAAAAATAAATCCATTGTTCAATAAAACACTAACTCTTTATGGCTTTCCTCCATTATAAATCACTAGTTCTTTTAATTGGAAGGAAATCACATGTCAAATTTCATTTGATTTGTGGATGGAAGGCTATGGAAGCTGTAGGCCCCGAAGCAAAATTAATTGGTCCACAAAAATTGCCAAATTAGTTTTCTTTTTCCAAATTTCAGTTATGTGAGTAAATGAAAGCTTTTACAACCATTAGTTCTTTTAAAATATTTTCAAGCGTAACTGCATGCACACATTCTATATTCATTTGTCTCTTTTTCAGTTTTTATACTCCATCTAGGATGTCTAATCATTATTTCGTGAAAAAGGAAAAAAAACTATGTATATTTTTTCTTTATAATTAGTCAATTACAAATTGGTAAAGTTCTAGCCAATTTCATCCATTATCTAACTTGCAAGAAAGGAATAGATATCTCCTAGATACAAAGTTCAAAAGGAATTTCTAGTCTTTTATAATCACGATCACATGATGTTTCGGACTTTCGGTGGATATCTATTTGTCCATTTTCCGTTAAAGAAACTTTACTTATTACAATCTTTTCTTTACACTCCTCTAAAATAGTATGAAGTATTACCATAATTCCTAACATATCATTATTAAAACGAGGGTTAAGTATTATTGGAAAGTAATCATTAAATAGTATATGATTTAATTATTCTTAATAACTTTCAAAGTATGTCTTACATTCATTAAATTTATTGTTTTAGTTCATTTATATCCATGTTTTTTGGAAAATTAAAGTTCGAAGATAAAAAGAAGTTAATGCAAATTAATGCACGGCTGAATAACTGGTGGTCTAATTCTATTGCTTGCTTATTAACAAGAATGACCACGCCAACACTACTACAATAATACACTCATACTTTTGCGTTTCTTAATTACTTGCATTACTTATTCTTTCTTCCCAACAATTCTACAGCCCATAATCAATTTTAATTCAATAATCTTCATACAACTCTGAACATATAACTATATTTAATATAAATTCTTAAGTTCATAAACAATCATTAGTATCAAAATCATAAAGTTGTATCGCACAATAGGATGCTCTTCGCATCATTATCAGAAGTAATTTCAATTTCGTCGCATTTGGCTATAGACGTCATTTTCTGTGTGACTTCCTTCTTCTGACACGTATCCACTTTGTATGGTTGGAACTTCCCGCTATAGACCGATCTGGTAGGTCGTGGCCAATAATGGGATAGCATAGTTTTTTTGCCCCATCACTTAAGCACGGCAAGAATTTTTTTTTTTAAAAATTTTAAATAGCTGCAACAAGTTATTAACAAAAGATAATATGCTAGCGCTATTCCCGTTGCCTCTAGAGGATTTTTCAGCCAACAAACTCCTTCAACTCCCTTCCTCAAGTTCTTTCTAGGGTTCTTTCCATTTGTTTCTGTAATACATTTTTTTGACAAATTTTCAATCCTATTATTTTCTCAGTAGAAGTATCTTTCTTTCTTAGTGAGAGTTTTTGCTTTTTTTTTTATATAGTTTTTATCAGATTTAAGTTTATTCAAGTCTAAACTTTCTCGCAGGGCTTCAAAATCTGTCCGGGGAAGGCTTACAAATCATTTGCAACTACAGAGATTTATATGCATTTAATTGTAAGAAAATTTGGAGCTTTCTAGTATTTTTTTTTTTCTTATTGGTTTCTCTGATTTGAAGGAAGTCACTTCTTTTTGCATTTCCATTGCGTCTTTTTCATATATTTGTTGCTATTTGTACAACTTTTCTGTGATTAAATAAAATTCCCTTCCTCGTTAAAATAAATGAAAGAAAATATGAAGGAGAAATTAAATTGATCTAATTGACAATATGTCTTTATCACTAGATGCCTTCTCAGATATTCTCAAAAACTTCCATACTCTAACTATCATTATTTTACCACAATAGTACTTCTTTAACAATTACTAGCATTTCTATGTTGTCATTTGAACTGCTTCCTTTCCATCTTTGGTACACTTAAATTTGCAATTATCTTATGAAATTCTTAAATTCAGTAACTTTCAGCTACATGATATGGTGAGAGATATTTGTTTGACATGATATAAACCTAATAAGAAAAGAATTCAATTTGAAAACACACGTAAGACAATATATATAGGTCCATGTACATAAACCAAAGAACAAAATTATATCAATTCAGTAAGCACATTTAATAATATTCCCTGGAGCCTTAAAGCATAAGTTAAACATTTTATCTGGAAATGTCTCCTAAGAATCTTATACGTGATGAAGTAAATAGGCAGAGAACTGGGAAACGGAAAGACTTGAGCATATGCTTTTTTTTTTGGTGAAATTGCATAACAAATATTAGGGGTGGGCACGGGTCGGGGTACCCGCCCCTAATACGTTTTGGCTGACCCGACCCTAAAATATCGGATCAGCCATTTTGCGACCCTAACCCGCTCCTAATATTTTCGGGTACCCGCTATTCGGGTACCCGAAAAAAAGGGGCGGGTCATAGGGTACCCGCCCCTAAAAAAAAATTCCAATAAAAAATATTTTTCATTTAATATCAACATATTTTTCAATAAAAAAAATGTTTTCTGATTAACATTGGTAGAGATATTATAATCAAAATCCATACGTCATCATTCTCACACATTTCATCCAATAATCAAACCGATCTCATAAATTTAGTACATATTAGAATTATAATATCTAATAGACAAAATGAAATTTCATGATAATTTTGAGTACATCACCATTCTCACGCATTTCATCCTTTTATAACATAACAAATACAAGGATAATAAGTATTTGGCAAATTTTTCAACTTTCTTAAGGATGTTATGGTACAAAACTGCATCCAAAATGAGTCGATTGTGGAATCAAATCCGGAAAAGAATTGAACAGAGCTAATAATTTTTGAAGTATAATCAAAATAATCATGAAAAATTTTCACCAACTTTCTTACATCTTTGGAATAGACCTTATTGCATTAAAGGTGATGAAAAAGAAAAATAAATTTCTTGCACTAAAATAAAGGAGACAAAGTTAAGAGACACAATTGCAATAAAACAAATAAATAAATGAAAGACACAAATGTTTTAATTATCTAGCTAATAGAAAATTGGAGCTCCAAACACAAATTTTTGATTGAATTGATGAAAAATTTGCAAGAAAGATCGATGGAAGTAGAATAAAAATGAAAAAGGATGAAAAGGATGAACAATTTTTATGATAGAGTTTTGTTTTGTTCATTTTAGTTCAGGTTTCACCAAGAATATTCGTTCTTTTAAGACAAGATGAGGAGAGGCGGATCATATGAGATTAGAATATGAAGTTGTGAACCACTTTACTTACACTTAGGATTAAAAATTATAAAAATATGATGAACCCTTATTTTTTTAATATTTATATAATATACCCTGCGGGTTGGGTACCCGCGGGTTTTTATTTTATTGATCCGTATCCGTATCCGTTTTTACGGGTACCCGATCCGCATCTGCCCCGCTAAGAAAAATCGGATCGGATATCCTATTTTTCGGATCGGATCGGATCGGGTTCATCGGGTTTCGGATCGGATCGGATTTTTTGCCGACCCCTAACAAATATGGTAAGTAGCACCAATCCAGTGGGATGGCCTAGGAAATAGAAGCAACCTCTGCCATTGATGAGGGGAGTTGATGGAAGAAAACGCATTGCTTTGAACTGTAAACCTGTGCAGATTTGCAAAGAAAGGAGGTTGTTCAAGTGCCAATTCAGTGGCCATGACACCACCTGGACGGTCGGACCATTCAGTACTGACAGAGCCATGTTAAGACAAGGGTGGAGCCATGTTAGAGATCAATAATCAGAGGCTTACAAAATTTCGTAATTTTTCAATTTAGCTCACATTTGCACTGACAAATTTTGTAAAAATTTATTTTGCTCTCGCATTGCCCCTTAGAGCATCTACAATGGTTTACACCCTTTAGGGTGTAATCCACATGCCACATCAACATTCCACTATCTCCTCTTTTTATTACACTCTTATCCACAATGGATTACACTCACAGAATATAATAGCATAGGTCCACATGCCACATCAGCATTCCACTATCTCCTCTTTTATTATACTCTCTCCTCTCTTTTATTTTAACAATGCACAACTCATAACCCATAAATAAATAAATTTATTATTTTAAAAATGGTTATTTTTAAAAATAAATTATTAACGTGACACCTCAAACGTGAAAATATCATAATAATCCATTATTCATTAATAATACCCTATCTACTGAATTTAACTCCACGACATACTATTAAAATTAAATAAAATACAAATAATAATATAACGAATAGTAATTTTTATTATTATTGCCTCCAAATCGTTCCCAAATATGATCGAATAAATTGGACAGAAGTTGATGATGTACTTCCCGATTATGTAGTTTCGCATTCCTCTAAAGATAATGGTGAAAATTTTCGACTTGAGTTACAGGGATCGTTGGTTCTTCATCATCATCATCCCAGTTTTTTATTGCATCTCCCTCATCCTCGACAATCATATTATGCAATATGATGCATGTGTACACTATATCTTTCAATTTAGCTTTATGCCAAAATCGAGCTGGGCCACATACAATTGCCCAACGAGATTGGACCACTCCAAAATCTTGCTCGACGTCTTTGCTTGCAGCCTCCTGTATTTGCTTAAATTTGATCCTCTTTGGATCTTTAGGAGATGTAAAACTTTTAACAAATGTTGTCCATTCTGGATATATGCCATCTGCTAGACAATATCCTTTGTTGTACTGTGTGCCGTTTACCATAAATTGAATATCAGGAGCATATCCGTGTAACACGTCATTAAATAGCGGAGATTGATTGGAGTACATTAATGTCATTGTTAGACCCCGCGATGCCAAAAAATGCATGCCATATCCACAAATCTGCTGCTGCAATTGCTTCTAGCATTATTGTGGGAGATCCTTGATCACTTCGAGTAAATTGACCTTTCCATGCCACAGGACAATTCTTCCATTGCCAATGCATGCAGTCAATGCTACCAAGCATTCCGGAGAAACCATGGCGCTCAGAATGCAATTGAAGTAAATGTTCAACATCATTAGTATTAGGCCTTCTCAAGTATTGTGCCCCATAAATATCGATCACGCACCAACAAAATTGTGACAAACATTCGATTGCAGTGCATTCACCCATCCTTGTGTACTCGTCCAATTGGTCAGCAGGTGTTCCATATGTTAACTGATGGATAGCTGCTGTGGTTTTTTTGAAGTGGAGAAAGTCCTCTTTTGCCGGCTGCATTGACCCTCATTTGAAAAAACTCTGAATGATTTGTCATCGACTCCACAATTCGAAGGAAAAACATGTCTGACACCACGCTCTCGATTGTAATATCTTCGACTGTGTGGACGGATGTTACGACTTGAAGATGTATGTTGCGTTTGCCATTGCTCCAACATCTTCATAATTTGATCATCAATGTCATCCATCATTTCATCGGCTAAAAACTTTTAAATTTCTTCTATAAGAGAGATATCAGGATATTAATACATTTTTTGAGTGTGTTGAGTATTTGGTGGCAATGTATTGCGTCTTGCCAATACATATATAGTGCTAGTGTTATAATAGCTAGTTTTCCAACGGCTCATTTTTCTAATGGCTAATTTTCCAACGGCTAGTCTTCTGACTTATTATAATGAATATATATAATATATATTTATATAATATATTTTATTATAATATTAGTATAATTATATAATATATTTATAATTATTATATACATAATAAAATATATTATATAAATATATATTACAATTATTTAATTAAGTATAATTATATTTATCTAATATAAATTATAAATTTATGAATATTATATTAATTTAAAATGATGAAATTTAAAATTTCGTTAGCTTGGTTTCGAATCCATGGTCGGATTTCATAGTTTGGTTTCGAATCCATGACTGGATTTCATAACCTGGTTTCAAATCCATGGTTGGATTTTATATGTTGGTTTCGAATCCACAGCTGGATTTCATAACCTGGTTTCGAATCCATAGCAGGATTTCATAACTTGGTTTCAAATCCATGGCCGGATTTTATAGCTTGGTTTCGAATCCATGGTCGGATTTCATATCTTGCGTCTAGTTACTCCATAAATGTACTACATAAGTGATTAATATGATACAACATGGTTTTTTCTGCATCTTATTGCACCGTATAGTAAAATAAAATTAAAAATAGACTAAGAAATATTATATTTGGCTTTTAGGATGGAGCACATTTGCTCATGAATTCGAAGCTGTTAATCGGTCATACCCGTGGTATCCTTGAGTATTTCATAATCACTTTGAAAATTATAACTTTCTAACTTATTTGCCAAGTTTTCCATAGCCTGCAATTTTTCTTCTTTTTGCTGCATCAACACTTTTCGGATTTGATCAAATTCCTCACTCACATTTTCCTCGTTCACATTTGATTTTGCCTTTTTCTTTCCCTTCTTTGATGCTTTTTGACCAGGTGGGTGAACTTCACATGCTTCATTATCATCGATGTCAAAATTTGAATTCGTATTGGATAAAGAAGTGTATGCCCCGCTTTCATCAGTTCTTATCTTTTTTGAAAAACGTTGCATAAGAGTATTTACTTTCCACTTCGGATCATTTTTCAACAACACCCACACATGTTCATGTAAAAAATGCTTGTTATTATTCTGATGAAATAGCTCATGTGCGTGTTGCTTGATCTAGTCATCATTCCACCTGCTATGATGTTCGCTGACCAATTTGTTGTAATATTGGTTGAACTCATTAACCATCGGACTCAACCAATGCCAATGTGATTTCACTGCTTTATATTTTCGTGGTGGTCCAGATTTTCGATTCTCATTGAAGTAGTCGACGACTCGTTTCTAAAAGCTTTTTTCATTTTGAGAGTTACCCACAACACTGCAATTTGAAATTGTGAGCCAAGCACTTGCAAGAATCTTGTCATCATCCACACTCCATGGAACACATTTACGGTCAGGTTCTTCCACCGCCTCATTTGTGAGATTTATATTTTCTACCTCACGTTGTGTTGAATACGCGGAAATTGAGAATCCTAAATTGACTCCGTTGGTGTTGCATTATCTTGTTGACTGGCGAAATCAAAATCCTTCCTTATCTCCGACGGAGTCGTTGAGCCTCCACAACCCATACCAAGGTTATAATACCCCGGTGTATAGTGATTTCCCATAGAATGATTAAAATAATTAGGTGACGGATACATGGGAATTTGATATGGAAAATGTGGTAGATTTTGGAAATTTGATGGATGATTGGAATTGGGTAAATTTGGGTAATTTGGAATTGGAAATGGATAATTTGGCAAATTTGGATAATTTTGGTGGTTTTGATTTTGTGAAGCGGATGACTTTTCTATATTTGGACTATTTAACATATTTCTAAAACTACTAAGATTCTCATCTATAATGATAAAATACTGAAATTTATAAAATTATGTAAAGAGATTGAAAATAGTGAATAAGGGAGTAGGAGAGATAATGGACTAGAAGATTGTGAGGTGAAATAAAAAATTACCTTGTGTATTTATAGGAAGTAAAATAAATTATCCGTTGCTAAAATATAGCCGTTGTAAAAAAAGGCCGTTGTAAAATGATTGGTTCCAAAAATGACCGTTGTAAAATGTTTCAAAAAATGACCAAGTAAAATACTGTCTCATTTTGGCTATTTGGATGTTTGCTGGTATTGTAATGCCGTTTGGATCCCATAACATCTTTCATGACACGCATCATCAGTATTGTGATGACACGCATCATCAGTATTGTGCGTGTAATCTCCGTGACATGGTCTCCCAACCGTGTCATGGAGCGGTGTAATGGGGGGCATTATACCCCCATTATACATTGCTGTGGATGCTCTTAAAACAGCTAACGTATTTGAAAAGTAGAATGGACCACCTAAATAACCAAGATGCCGCCGATCACAATAATTTGCATAGTGAGTTCTTGCTAGTAGTTATTTAGTGACTTCCAAGCCTTTGCTCATTATAAATACCGGCCCCCTCCACATTCCAAACTTACTCAACCACCTTCCTTGTGCTACATTCTGCTATCTTCTGCCACCACCACCACCCCCACTACTCCCAGAAAATGGAAAGCTTTTCTCCCACCTGGGCTGCATATGCACTCGCCTGGGTTGCAACGGTGGTTATCGCCCATCTCTCGAAGCATTTCCATCAGCAAAAACTCAACCTCCCACCGGGTCCAAGGCAATGGCCTATAATTGGAAACTTAAACCTCATTGGCACCCTTCCTCATCGTTCACTCCATCAACTCTCCCTAACATATGGTCCCCTAATGCACCTTCAATTCGGCTCCTTCCCAGTTGTCGTTGGCTCCTCCGTGGAGATGGCCAAAGTTTTCCTCAAAACCATGGACGTCACATTTGCAGGGAGGCCTAAAACTGCAGCCGGAAAATATACCGCTTATGATTGCACCAACATGACTTGGTCCCCTTACGGACCATACTGGCGCCAGGCACGTAAGATTTTCCTTACGGAATTATTCAGTGCAAAAAGACTCGAATCATATGAACATATTCCGGTGGAAGAAATGAATTCGCTTCTGCTACAGCTATTCAAGTCATCAGGCAAGCCTGTCGTGTTGAAAGATTATCTTTCAACAGGAAGTTTGAATGTGATTAGCAGGATGGTCCTGGGGAAAACATACATTGATGAGTCTGAGAACTCAATTGTCACGCCCGAAGAGTTCAGGCAAATGATGGACGAGGTGTTTTTGCTGGCTGGTGTGTTTAACATTGGTGACTTCATACCTTGGATCGATTTCTTGGATTTGCAGGGGTATATCAAGAGGATGAAAATCTTGAGCAAGAAATTTGATAGGTTTCTGGAGCATGTTCTCGATGAACATAATGCCCGGCGGAAGGACGAAACTGATTGTGTCAGCAAGGACATGGCGGACGTCCTTCTGGATCTTGCAGATGATCCCACTTTGGAGGTGAAGCTAGAGAGGCGTGGAGTCAAGGCATTGACTCTGGTATATGTTACTTACAAACTGCATAACGCATGCTGTCAACTTTTAAAAGACTGAAAACTTGAGAGAAAATAGTCAGTGATCTTTTGAACTTGAATACTCCTCAAAATTTTCTTTGCTACTGAAAACTTGAGAGAAAGTAGTCAGGATCTTTGTAGTTTGATGAAAATTTTTCAGTGGAGGCAGAATTAACAAGAAAATTCTTTTTAATCCTTCTAAAAGAAATTGCTTTTGATAAAGGTACTCAAGTAAGTAGGAATATTGTTGGCCAAGTACAGTCAATTTGCAACTCAAAAACGTTTGTGGGCCTAGTCAATTTGCAACACAAGAAGTTGATTAGAACTTGAGTTTTGCTGATAAGTACATTGGTTCTATTCTTTGCCAAATTAATATAATATCCATGATAGTAAGATTTATTTCACGTCCCGGTGGGGAGCACAAATAATAATTCTTAAGAAATTCCAAGCCTATTATAGGAAATTTATTTTGTGCCCTGTTTCTGCAAGAAATAACCACTTTTTTTGCAATTTTTTTTAGGTTATTCTCTAAACACGGTTTTTAACTATTTTTTTTTTAATTACGTTTTCATTCAGATATCACATTCGGAACATTGAAACATAAATAAGTTTAAGAACTTCAATGATTGGACTAAGTTTCTTGCTGCACTTTGCGTAACGATTGAACTCTAGGACCTACTTGGTGGTGGAACCGAGACCTCAGCGACTACAGTAGAATGGGCCATTTCGGAGCTACTGAAAAACCCAGAAATATTCAACAAGGCAGCCGAAGAACTCGACCGTGTTATCGGTCAGAATCGATGGGTGAAAGAGAAGGACATGCCAAATCTTCCTTACATAGAGGCTATTGTTAAAGAAACAATGCGTATGCATCCCGTGGTCCCATTTCTAGTGCCAAGATGTGCTCGCGAAGATTGCAAAGTTGCAGGGTACGATATTCAAAAGGGAACTCGAGTCATCGTCAACGTTTGGTCAATTGTGAGGGACCCTGAATTGTGGGAGAAGCCAGAGGTATTTTGCCCAGACAGATTCATGGGAAAGGACATTGACTTCAAAGGGCAAGACTGTAAGTTCTTGCCATTTGGTGCTGGAAGAAGAATGTGCCCAGGGTACAGTTTAGGCCTCAAGGTTATCCAATCTAGTTTGGCCAATCTTTTACATGGATACAGATGGAAGTTGCCAAATGACATGAAGCCTGAGGACCTTGACATGGAAGAAATATTTGGGCTTAC